CCCCGCTCGCCGCGCGGCCCCGGCTCCCCCTTGGGGCCCGGCTCGCCCCGGAAGCCCGGCAGCCCCGGGCCGCCCTGCGGGCCGGGTTTGCCGTTCACCGAGATGCCCGCCGGCCCCGGCAGCCCCGGCGGGCCCGGCAGCCCCCGTGGCCCTTGCTCTCCTCTCATGCCGGGCTCGCCCTTGGCTCCGGGCATGCCTTTCATTCCCGCCTTTCCGGGCAGGCCCGGGATGCCGGGCTTGCCGATGCCCGAGAAGCCGGGCGGCCCGGCGGGCCCGGGCTGGCCGTGCATTCCTGGCTTCCCGGTGCCCGGCTTTCCTGGGTATCCGGGGGGGCCGGGTGGCCCGCGGGGGCCTGGCTTCCCGGGCGGTCCTGGCTCCCCTTTGAGGTCCATGGGCAGCATGGGCGGCATGTCTGCGGAGAGAAGGAGAGCGTGGCGCTTCAGTGGGGCCCGGCGCCGCGGGGCCGCGGGCGCCGCAGGGATGCGCCAGCCCTGCCTGGGGCTTTGCCCAGTTCCAGGCTGGGGACCGCGGCACGGCTCCACAGTTCCCGTGGCGGGAAGGCTCCTGGGTTATATGGCGGGAGCTGGGACACGCCGCTGTCCCGTGTGGCCCTTGGCGGGCAGGGCCGCCCCGGTCCTTGCCGTGGCCCCGTTGCCCGTTCGCCGCGCACGGGGACCCCGGCGCAGCCCCGGCGCCACGAGCCGGCCCTTCTCCCGCCCGCGTCTGCCCTTGCAGCGCTGCCCTTCGCCCAGCGTGGCCGTTCTTAAACCCCGTCCCAGCAGCGGCCTGCGCTGCCACATCAGCAGCCTGCGAGGGACTGGCTTGGAGCAGGAGCCTGGCCAGTGCCCAAGGTGCTAATTCAAGCCTTATTCCTCCGTCCCTGCCCCGAGGGCATCAACAAGAGCAGCAAGTGCCGCATGCTCCGATGATGCTGCTCTTGTGCCATGGCCCTGGAGGCGCTGGGGCTCCAGCACTGGCCCCTGGGGCCCAGGATGCAGCACAGAGCCAAGGTGGAGGGTGACGGTCCCACCTCATCCCCTAACTCTGTGGCCTCAGGAGACCTGCGGGACAATTGCTCCTTGCAAGTTAAAGGGAAAATGGATAAGGAAGCCCTGGGACTTGTAGCTCGGTCCTGGATAGTTGGGGATTAGTTTATCGGATAAGACCTGGCTCTGGTCCTGGCTTAGCTGCCACATTTAGCAAGGTAAATGAAAACAAAAACAACCCCCCAACCAGCCAAAAGTCCAGGAGGGTGCTGGAAAAGCCAATAGGAGGAAAACGCAGCCTCGGTAGCACCCGGGAATGGAGGGGCCACTGGGAGCAAGCCATGACCACCTGACCCCGAGGGAATTTCTGGAGGCCTTTTGCAAGGATGCGAGCAAGAAATGAGCGGGAGGAGAGCGCAGAGCGCAGTGGAACCACGGCCTCCCCCGGCTCAGCCGGGCCGTGGGACAAGATCCAGGGAGGCGGCAGTGCGCGGCACCCTGCTTGCTTTGCTCTTGGCCACGTTTTGGAGACGTTCCTGATGCTGCTCTCCATACCAAGGGCTGCCTCCGGTTCCCTGCGCTAATGGGGGTCGCTTGGTTTCTTGAGCAAGGATGTGCTTGTCTGCCGTGCTGTTTCCCTGATTGCTGCAAGTCTCCCCGGCCCGGAAAGCAGTGTGGGAAAGGCAGGGAGGGATGGGCAGTGTTGCACCAAAGTGGATTTCTGGGGGTTGAATTCCAGCATTTTTCTCTGGAAAATGATTTCAATGTGTTTTCTCCCCACACTCTTTTTTTTTCCTTCTTGCAATGGTTTTGGAAAGGATTGTCCTTCGAGGCGTTTTTGCACGGGATGCAGAGGGCTCTGCAGCGCAGGAGGGCGGACGCGGAGGGAGCCGCAGCGCGCGGGCGGCCACAAGCGCGGCCGGGAAAAGCAGCGTGAGCAGAGACGCCCGCAGCGCGCGCAGGGCAGGCGGCGGCGCGAGCGCGGCCAGGCCTCGCCGCGGCACCACGCGGCGCCTCCCTGGGCTGCTGCGGGAATCCCCGCTCCACATGCCCTTTTCCCTCTCTCCCCTTGGCAGCCGAGTCCTTGGCCGTTTAAAGCGGAGCCTTTGGCGTGTCCAGGTTGCTCACGCGGTGCGGGGCGGCCCGGGCTGCGCAGGGAGCGGGGCACTGGCACCCGCTCCAGCGTTCCCAGCATACGCCAGGGCCCACGAGGGAATTTCATGGCCGAGTTGGGGTGGGAACATGCGGGATGCCAGAGCTGCCCTGCACGGGAAGCGCCATGCCCCCAACGCTGGCTCCGGCACATCCCACAGGGAATACAGGAGCAGCCTCGGGAGAGGAAGGGAGCAGGGAGGGCCCATCCACCCGCCGGCTGCTGTGCCAGGAGGGACCCAGAGCCCAGGGCCCTGGGAGCAGGAGATGGTGGCCGCCCCGCGCCCCGCGCGCCCCTTACCTAGGTACTGCCCTTTGCCTTCGCGGAAGGGCGGCCCCAGCGGCCCCTTCACCATGGGCTGCATGTACTTGACCTGCGCGTAGCCCGCCGCTCCTCCCGCCAGCGCCGGGCGCGCGCCGGCCAGCAGCAGCAGCAGCAGCAGCAGCCCCGCGGCGTCCAGCGGCATCGTGGCGCGCGCCCTGCGGACACAGCGACAGTGAGCGCGGCTCCGCGGCACCGCACGCCCGCGCGCCGCCCTTCCCGAGCCTGCGAAACCCGCCAGGACGAGGCCGGGGGGGTTCCCTTTTCCCGGTGCCGGGCCGGCCCGCGGCTGCTGCCAGCGAGCGCTCCGCGGGAGCCGGGCAGGGCTGCTGCGCCGCTGGATTTGATCGGAATTTCCTGAGCTGCCGGCGCGGGAGCAGCGCTGAAAGAGGAGCTGCAGCATGGAAAGAAATCACAAGTGAACCAAAATAAAACAAAATCAGGGGAAGGGAGCGGGGAGGCGTCGCGCGGGGCCGGGCTTGGCGCGCCGGGCACGCGGGGCCGGGGGCGTGCGGGGACAAGCCGGGCCGCAGCGCGGGGCAGGGCTGCGGCTGCCGTGGCCGCCCCGACACCGCTGCCGCCGTTATTTTCCCGTCTTCGGGGTGTCAATGACAGACACGTGTTTTCATGAAATGCTGTTTCACCGGGATTTGTTTAAAGGAGGGGGAAGGAATCCTGCTGGAGAGGACTGCAGCTGTGAAAACAGAGGTTGTGCTGAAGACAAGGGGCAAAGCCCTGGATCGGCTCGTTACGTGCTCTCCTTGCCTGGCTCGACCTGCCGCGGCCGGGCCCCCTTCCCTGCCCCCCTTGTGCTTCACCCCGTCCTGGGGCTGCAGGATGCCCCCAAACCGCAGGAACCGGCCCCTGCCCGCGGCCCTGCCGGCATCCCGCTGGATCCGGGAGCCACCGGAGCCGGGAGAAGCAGCTCCCAGTGCCCCGTGTGCTCAGGCTTCCCCATGGAGCGGCACGGAGCCATCCCGGATGCAGGTGCAGCCCGGAGCCCTTGGCCGGCGGCTCTGCCTCCGTATCCCGTGGGAAAGGAGGCGCCGGTTCCTCCTTCGCACTGGCAGCGTCTCGCGGGCTTGCGCAGCCTGGCAAGGAGGCCCCGGCGCTACCCGCTATCTCCAGGCAGCGACTTAATAAAAAGACAATGGAAACCTGAGGGGTTTTACGTGCTGGATCAAGGGTGCGCAGGAGGGCTGCGAAGAGGCTCCCTCCTGCCTGCCGCGTCCTGCCTGACGAGACGATAATTAATCATAATTAGCCGCCGTGCAGCCGTTTCACAGAGAGCGGGGCAGGCGTTTGCGCGGGCGCCGGGGCCGCCGGCTCCAATAAAAGCTGCTGCGTGAAATTGCGGCTCCCCTCCTGCAGCAGGACCGATGAGTCCGGGCAGACTTTTCCTGCAGGAATTCCAGTGGGAATTCACTGCTTCCAAGCCGACAGTCCCAATGGGAACTGCAGAGTGGCTGTGGTCACTAAAGCGGGACTGGTTTAAGCCCCGCACTAAGAGGCCGGCGCCTGGGTGGGCTGCAGGCAGCCTGTGCTCGCCCCGGCCCGCCGAGCCGCTCCGTCCGCCGCTCATTGCAATAAAAAAACAAAGCAGGGAGGTTTTCCAAGGCCAACACGGCGCTGGACTCTCTCCAGCGGGAGGGAAATGATTTGGTTTGTGCTACACACGCTTTACAAATAATAATAATAATAATAATAATAATAATGATGATAAGAGTCAGAGGCAGGAAAGCGGAGCGGCTGCGGCGGGGCGGGAGCGGGAGCGCGCTGTTTCCGAGGGCCGGCTGCGGGAGGACGCGGGGAGGCGCTGGCACGGAGGCGCCGCGCGCGGCACGGCAGCCGCGGCGCTGCAGGAGCGGCCGCGCGGCCCCGCGCGCGGAACAAGAAAACATTTTCCTTGACGAAAGAAAAACACCCCACCCGGCGGCGCCCCGCGGCCCGGCCCGGCGCGAGCGTGGAAACGGGGCCGGGAATGGGGCTGGCAACGGGGCCGGCAGCGAGCGCAGGAGCTGGGCTGGGAATATGGGGATGTGCGGGAGCAGGGCCGGGAATGCAGGAGCAAGTGCCGGGCGGCAGTGGCACCGTCGCAGCCGGAGTGCCCTGGCCGAGGGCCGCGTCCCGCTGGCGCTTGATCCCGCCGGCTGCGGGTCAAAGAGCAGCTCAGCGGGATTAGCAGCCCCGCGCGCGCCGGGAGCCCCCCGGGTCACGGCTCAGGCCTTAATCCCGCACCTCCGGCTGTCAAAACTCCGTGCTCCGCGCCGGGGAGCGGCGGCTCCAGTGCCCACGGGGCCCGGCGGGGCTGGGGCAGCGCTGGCGGCTTCGCTCCCGGCCCGTCACAGCCCCGGCCGCCCGCACTCGCTGGCAGGTGCAGAATTAGAGGCTGTTTTGGAGATCCCATCGCCAGAGCCCTCAATCCTGCCCGGAGCGGTGCTGACCGCCTGGCCGCCCGGCTCCCGCTGCTGCCCTGGTGCGGGCCGGGCCGGGCGCCTCGGGGACCCGGCAGCTCCCTCCAGGTCACACACAGAGCCGTCCCCTCGGCAGCGGCCGGAGCCGCGGGGTGGCGGGATGGGCTGCAGGTGCCTGAGCGGTCTCTGTCCCACGGGATCCCTCACCCTGTTCCCAGCATGGAGCTCCCATCACATCCCCGGGCACCAGGGCCCGCACGGGCAGGCAGGGAGGCAGAGCCTCCTCCTCCTCCTCGCCTGTGCTGCTGCTAGCGTCACTCTGCGCTCTGCGCTGCCTCCCCCTGCAAGCCCCGATTCCTCGACTCTCCCGGATTAGGAACAAGGAACACGGATTAGGGAATATTAAGAGCAGACCTCGCCGCAGCACGGCCAGGGAAAGCGGCGTGCTGGCGTCGAGCGCCTCGGCGCTGCTGCTGCTGCCCTGCGGCCCGGCCCTGCTGCCGAGCGGAGCATGTCGGGGTGCCAGCGGTGCCCGGCGCTCCCCGCAGCAGCCGGCCCCGAGGCCGCCGCCGTGCCCAGAGCCGCGACGTATGAGGGCACCGGGCGCGGGGCCGGCGGCTCTTGCTCGGGCCTTTCGGCTGCTCCGCTCTGCAAACCCCGCTGCCCTGGAGGCGATGGAGCAGCCGGGAGCCCTGGACGGGGCGCCCCACGGGCCCCACGCGCTCCCGTCCCGCGCGGGCCCCCTCGTCCCCGCCGCCCACCCCCGGCCCCTCCGAATACCAGACTGAGCGCGGCATTAATAGCAGGCTTGCCTGCCAGGTGCATAGTTCGACCAGGCGCTTTGCACATGCCAAACCACAGGTATTTTATGAGACGTTTCCTGTTATGAAGACATTTTTGTGGGGATTCTTTTTTTTTTTATTATTGTTATTATTTCTTCCCTTTCCCCTCTTCCTCCCCGTGCCGGGTGGGTGGGTGCCCCTTGCAGGCGCCCCGTGAGCTGGGTGCTCTCCTGGGTGCCTGTCCCCCGTGCGCACGCGGGGTGACCCTCGCGGGGGGTCTCGTTGTGTTTCTGTCGCCCCAAGGGGCTCCACACGCTGCCTGGTTGTGGCACAGGCTGGGGGGTACATGGGGCGGGCGGGTGACACGCAGCCCGCATGGCACCGAGAGCCATCACGGCTTCGCCATCGCAGACGCGCTGCAGAAACAGGGTTTTCTAACGCGATGGGTGTTTTTGCAAAGAAATCTGCGAAATCCCAGGGGACCTGCAGAGAGCGCTTCACATGTCAGGGAATTTGCGGGCGAGGGGCCACGAACCGCAGACATTGAACCTTCCAGCCCTGCGCCGGGGTCACGGGTTTGCCGGCGACGCGCAGCGGTTCGAGCCGGCAGCGCCCGGGACGGGACGGCCGGAGGGGCAGCCGGGGCCGCTGCTCCCGCCGGCCGCTCCGGCGCTGCCCCATGGGGAAGAGCCAAGCGCAGCTCCCCGGGGACGGCCAAGCCCCCGCGTCCCCGGCCCCTCTCCCGTGCACGAGCGCCCGGCCAGCAAGAGGTGACTCGGATCAAACAGCAGCACCGAAACGCGGCCAGTCCTGGCACGCCATCAAAGCTGCCGAATGAGGTTAGACAGCCGAAATTAGATCAGATTAGGGATAAATTGACTCGCCCAAGGCCACACATCGACTCGGGGGCAGCGCCAGGAATTCCTGGCTCACGGCTCGGCACTGTGTCCCTGCAGGCGCGCGGCCGGCGAGGCTTCTCCTGCCAAGAAGCGGAGCCCCCCGTGCGCTTGCAGCAACGGCAGCGGGGCCGGAGCGGCGGCGAGCGGGAGCCGGGACGTGCCGAGCTCCGCTCCGGCCCCGCGCTGGGATCACAGGTAGGTGCCGGGCACCGTGTCCCGGTGTCCCATGGCCAAGCGAGCTGAGCAGCAGCGAGTGAGGCCTTGGAGGAAGGTTGCTGTTTATCGCAGCTCAGCATGCCGCTTCCTGGCCCTCTTGAGTGTGTGGAAAGGTGCAAAGTCAGATTAAAACTGAACCAACAAAGAGCAGCTCCAAGGAGCCGTCTGCACATCTGAGAAACTGGCAGCGCCTGGATCCCATTGCACCTGCGTGGCATCACAGGGGAATTTGGGTTTCTGCAGCTGAGCAAATGCTGCAATGTTAAATCCTCCCCGGCCCCGGCCTGCTGGGCAGCGAGAGGCTTTGGAGGGGCTTGGTCTCTGGCAGCTGGGGAACAAACGGGAGAATATCCCCTTGATCCTTCACCCGAGCGGGGAGTGGGGCTGGCGGATGGGCCGGGCAAGCCTGGGATATCTGAAACTCCCGGGATATCTGAAACTCCCGGCTGATCCTGGCCGAGGTGCCAGTGGTGAGCGCGTGTAAACTGCAGCCTGCTTTCCTGAGCCGCGGCCAGCGGCGGCTGAGCGCTGCTTGGAGCAAATGGGCTCCCGGGCAAGGTGGCTTGGCCCCTTTCCCTTCTCTTAAAAGAGGATTTTTTCCCCCCTCTTTGATACGCTCTATTTTATAAATAAATATAATTGCATTCGTCTGGTCTCATTAGGATGAGCTGTGTCTGTTTCTGGGACGGGCTATGTTTTTGGAGCGGGTGTTAAGGGTAGGCACTGTAAAGCTTTACGCCTGGAACGTGCAGTCAGGATGTTCACAGCTTCCAGGCTCCAAAACGTACGGGATACAATAGCAAAGGACACGGAACGAAACCTGGACGCAGCTCG